ATTAACCGAATTAGTGAAGAATGCTCATAAATTTTTAAAAAGTTAATAAGTAAATATCAATCGTAAAAATTACATTTCAGTGGAAATTACAGCAAAATCACAAAATTTTATAACATGGCAGCTACTAGACAATAAGTTACAAGTAATACATTAAAATAATCCCATTTAAATGAAGGATGGTTTAATTGGCTCCTAGTCATATTTTAATACATTTTCTTTAGTCTGTTGGTGAGTTTATACTATCTGATTACAACATGAAGATCAACAAGAGAGGGAACATATTTGCCATCAATGAAGGATATGCTCAGTATTGGTCCAGTGATGTCACCGAATATGTACAGAAATGCAAATTCCCTGGGGTGAGTTATAGATACAGATATTCGTAGTAATGTGTATAGCATTTATCCATCATCAAAATGATTAGGAGAGAATTCTCCATTTTTATTACATTATCTGATGCATATACATGTTCTTATGTTGCATAGAAAGTTTAAGCAAAATTAGATTTTTAACAATTTTTAAAGTTGCTCAAAAAATTTTACCAAAATTAAAAAGGAGACAATTCTCAATTTTTATAATTTTTCCTGATACATATACATGTTTTTATGTTGTGTAGAAAGTTTGAGCTGATTCTAATCAAAATTAGATTTTTTATGAATTTTTAAAACTGTTTCAAAATCAGGCCAAAGTCCCTGTACTATAGCACAGGGTCATTGGTCAAATTTCATCAAAAATGGCTAGGAGAGAATTTTTTATTTTTATAATTTTTCCCGATACATATACATGTTTTTATGTTGTATAGAAAGTTTGAGCTGATTCCGATCAAAATTGGATTTTTAATGAATTTTTGAAGTTGCTCTAAAAGACAATGTGAAGCCTGTGGTATACCATAAAAAATCACTGGAAGAGAATTCGACATAGAAAGTTCTAATGAACTCTAGAGCTATGAACATGCTAAAAACACTATGCTAAAGACTTATTTACTTTATTTATTATTATCAAGAGTTGATAATTATTTATCTACTCTTGTTGTTATTATTGTAGTTATTATTATTATTGTGATTTCATTGCAATAGGATGGGAAATCTCCAATGGGAGCTCGGTACGTTGGCTCAATGGTCTCCGACATGCACCGCACACTCAAATATGGTGGTATATTTATGTACCCTGCAACCACCAAGAGCCCCAAGGGGAAGGTGAGTCATTCTCTGTTATATCACTGTATAGCTGTATGATGTAAAAAATGATCATTAATTTTTGTATCAACTAGGCACACATAATTGTGTAGTAGTACAATTTTAAAAAAATAATACAT